CGATGCGCCGCGCGTCATAGTGGCTGAAATTGCTCTGGCCCGTGGCGCCCGGGTTGACGTCGGCGCCATCGAGCGGGTACGCCGCCTCCACCGCACCGTTCACGGTGCGGTTCTCCATAAAACAGTTTTGCGGATCGACCAAGAGGATCGCGTCGCGAGGGCCGAAAACCTGACACTGGCGCGAGGCCGAGAGAGCCGCGCTATATAGGCCGAGCATATCTGCCGCAGAAGCGTCAGCAGCGAAAGCGCCGGCACCCCAGAATTGAGGGCGTCGTGTAGCCCTCCTGTTGGTATGCCAAAAGCGCGCGCCGGCGCTGGAGAGGGGAGCTGAGATTCGCGCGGACGGTGCCCGGCGTCGTAACTACTGGAGACGCAAACGTTTTCTTTTTCGCGGGGCGGGGGCGCAGAGCCAAGGAAGGATTGGGAAGAGGGGGGAGTGAGGCCGGAGGACCCCACCCGCCCGCCCGCCCGCCCGCCCGCCCGCCCCCCTCGCCCGCGCACTGGCCACCGCCCTTCGCACACTGACATATAGGCGCTCGAGACCTCCTCTCGCTGCCTACTCGCTGCCTCGGGGAGGAGGGGTTTACGTAGGGCGCGCGCCACTGCGCTCGCCTTTCCCGAGGCCCCTCCCCGAAAGGCAAGTATTAGCCACACGAAACCGAAAATAAAATATTCTTAGCTTCAAGCCCCCCTCCGAGACTAGAGACAGTCACCACCCGTACACAGGAGAGATGGGAGTGCCCCCCGCCCCAATGGGGTTCCCTCCCGGAGACGGCTCCTTCCATGGCGTCTGCATGTATGCGCAAGGCAACGGGGCGACCAAGCCTCTGAAGCAGCACCACAGCACCCACTCCTTTGGCGACTCCGGCCACAACGACAAGTCCTTCCATACGTACTGCCAGTCTGAAATGGGACCAGGTTCATATAACGAGGGGTGCTTCCTGGGAGAGCCGACACCCTGCGACGCCTATCCATACCTGGGCAACAAGTTCTCGCGGCAAAGCCCACCGTACTCGGCGGAGACGGCGAACCCAGCTTACATTGGCACACGCCCAAACCCGACTGGGTACGACATGGCCGCCTGCAAGCCCGAGTCGGAGGGCGGGATGGGGTGCTGGAAGACGCTGTGCGTTGAGGAGGGATCTGACGGCGGCCCAGTTTCGCTGCCAGCGGACGCGGGCACGCCCGGCAAGCCAGCTTCCGGCAGTGGCTGCGAATAGATCGCCGCGCGCGTTGCGAGCGCTATCGTCAGCTCAGGTAGCTTGCCACATATGGCTGGATGCGCAGTGAAAAGTAATATATCTTTACTTCCAAAACCCGGACGTGCCTCCACCGGCACGCCGCTTCCGACAGGGTGATGGAAGGTTCGACGCACCCCCGGACTGGGAGGAGAAATCCCAGGAGCACGCTCCTGGGCACTCCGCCCCGCCCCCACTTGCCCTGACTGCACAGGATAGCGTGCCCCGACGAACGGCGACACATAGGGCGGGGGACACTGCGCCGGGGGATATGCCTAACTTTGGTGCTTTGTGTGGGTCGCGTTCCCATGGTAGTTGTGTGGCTGAAGCCCTCGTGCCGCTGGCGTACGTCCACCCCCCCTTCTCAGGAGGTGGTTCCCCCAGCGGCTGGCCCCTCGAGACTGTCGGTGCTTGGCGGGAGGAGGGGGAGAGGGAGGCCCGGTGGGAGGAGAGGGAGAGGGAGGCCTGGTGGGAGGGGAGGGAGAGGGAGGCCGCCTTGGGCTCTTCTCCTCCCCCCTCCCTAGGCTCTTCTCCTCTCCCCACCCTGGGCTCTTCTCCCCTCCTCCCTGGTACTCTCGGCCTGATTACCGGAGCGACTGCTGGAGCAGACGCTGGGGGACACTCACGCCCGGAGGCGGTACGCACGACCCGGAGGCGTGGGGATGGGGGGGGGGCGCGCCGCCGCCGCCGTGCCGCCTTCTCCCGCTTTGACCTCCCCCAGCTGCTTCTCCTCAAATCAACCTGTGAGCTTGCGAGGGCGGCGGGGGTGGGAGTGCTCTCGGGCGGCGTGTGCGAGAGCGCGCGGCGCGAGATCTTCTTCGCGAGGGCACGGTGGGTCGGGTGAGTATCTCGCGCGCTCGCACTATTTCACGTTATATGAGGCACTGCCCCTGACTGCCTTTGCAGAACCGCCAGCGGCGGTGGTCGAACCGGTTCGCGGTTCGAGCCGGGACCTTTTGGCTCCCGGCTCGAAACTCGGGTGGAGGGTTGCTTCGCTCTCGCGGAGCGAGCGCGGGCGCGCGGGTGCGTGTGCGCGTGCGCTGCTGCAAGGCGAGGCGAGGCGCGGCGCGGCGAGGCGCGGCGCGGCGCGGCGCGGCGCGGCGAGGCGGGCGGCGGCGGCGCGCGGTCGTTCCTTTTGCCCGGGTGAGGCGTGGCGAGCGCGTCGCGTGGTGATGACGCCGCACGCGGAGAAGCTCTTGGTGACCCACCGCGGTGGCAGCGAGCCAAAGCAAGCCACCTGCCGCACGGGTTGACCTCGAAAAAGATTTTTTTCGCTGGATGCGCAGTGAAGAGGTATCATGGTTCATGCCATCATCGGGGCACGCGCTATCGGGGAATCTCAACTCTCGCAGCACTGTCTCAGGGCGATGCCCGCCGAGGATGGGGGCGGGGCGCCGCGCGGGGGGGGGGGGGGGGGGCCTCTTTGCAGTCTCGGGGGGCCTGAACTTCAAACATACTTTCTCAGCACACACGCATAGGGCCATATGCTGTATGCCGTCAGGTCCGCCCGAGTGTTGCAAAAGGAACTAAGGCCTGGACGCGCTCCCCCCTCGGCTGCCGGGCGGCCTGGAGGTACGCAAGGAAGGCCCGACGTGGCTGGCGGGGACGCCCAAGTGGGCCGCGAGCAGAGCGCGAAGGCGCGCTGCCACCGCCGGGTAGTGCCGGATCAGATTGGCCGCGTCTGGCTCGGCTCCGATTGCGTGCGCGGTGGCCGGCGCGCCGCGGAAGAGGTCGGCGTGCCGAGCGCACCGGTCGTGCGGCGCGGCGCGGCGGAGAGAGCGCCACGCGGCGACGTAGTCTCCGGCGGGCCACGAGCAGCGGTGCCGCGTGCAGCGCAGCGGCTCGTGCACCCACTGCACGAGGGTCCACTCACTCGTGCGAACGGCGTGGCCGATACAGGGCGACGAGCGGACGTCCCAATCGTGCCCAAATTGCCACAGCGAGAAGACGGCGCGGCCGGCGGCGCGGCCGGCGGCGCGGCCGGCGGCGCGGCCGTTCGAGCCGTTTACGCGGCGGCGCGGGGGGAGTGTCGGCGAGGGGTGCCATGCGGGGTGGAGTCGGCCGGTGGCTGTCCGCGCGGGTGTTCGCACGGGTGTTTGCGTCGCTGCGCCTCGGCCCGGCACCCTGGCGGCTCTCGGCTGCCGAGGGGGGCTCGCTTGCCCGTGCCGGCGCGGCTTCTTTTGGCGCGGCGGTGCCGGGCGAGGAGAGAGGCGGCGGCCGCCCCGCGCTGGAGCAGGCCGGGAGGCGGCGCCTTGCTCCGCGGAGAGCAGGAGCGAGCGGCCGGCGAGGGCGGAATCCGACGGGTCGGGCGGCAGCGCGGCGGCGGCGATGAGCGTTGGGAAGACGTCGAGAAGAGAGCAGGGGGTGCCGACGGCTGCCCCCGCCGGAAGCTGGCGGTGGCCGGCGAGGAGGAGAGGGACGTGCGTGTCATGCGTCGCGAGCGAGTGCTTGCCCCACCCGCCCAGCTCGCCAAGCTTCCACCCGTGGTCGCCCAGCAGCGCCACGAGGGCGGCGCCTGCGGCGGGAGACGCACAATCTCCCACAATCTCCCACAATCTCCCACAATCTCCCGCAATCTCGTCGCCTGCGGCGGGAGACGCATCTCCCACAATCTCCCACAATCTCCCACAATCTCCCGCAATCTCGTCGCCTGCGGCGGGAGACGCGTCCAGCGCCGCCACCACGCGGCCCACCTACGAGCCGTAGGAAGCAACCCACCTTAATAGTGACTACTCCAACCTTCGTTCACACTTACTCAACCTCTTGATTAATAACTAAGCAATCGTAATTAATCACTCCTCAGCCTTAATTGAGAATGGCCCACCTGCGAGTCGACGAAGGAGACCGCCGCGGAGTACCCGAGCGCCAGCTTGCGCCCAAGCCCGCCACCCGCCGACAAGCGCGGCCTCCGCCGCTCCGCCAGCCGCTGGCCGTAGTTGCCGTAGATCTCAGTCAGCCCCTCTTGCAGCGAGCGGCCGGTCAGCAGCGACGCGTTTGCGGGCGGGACGGTGCGGGCGGGCAGCGGCGGCGGCGAGCGCTCGGCCGCTACCCAGAAGGGCTCCGGCGCGATAAAGGGGAGGTGCGGGCGGATGAAGCCGACGGCGAGTAGCCACGGCCTCCGCTGCAAGGGCGACGTCAGCGCGCTTATGGCGTCGACGGCGCGAGCCGCGATCTGCTCGTCGGTGTGCCGCCCCGTCCTGGTGGCAGGAATTCACTAATCACGAACTGATGCATTAATGACCGCTCGTCGGTGTGCCGCCCCGTCCTGGTGGAGTTAGTCATTCACTCACTCGTCACTGTGTCAACCATTTAATCCGTCCGTCGGCGATGTTCGTCCCTGCTCCCCTCTCGAACAGCGGCGCCCGCCACTCCGCCGTTGGCGAGTGGCGGAGGCGGTAGCCGTTGTACTGCCAGCCGACGCCTGCGGCGCACGGCCCTCGCACCCCGCGGCAGGTCATGTTGTCGGCAAACTCGTCCTGCGTCGACGAGGGCACGGCGTCGAGAAGAGAGCAGGGGCTTTGCCCGAGGCTGCCCGAGGTTTGCCCGAGGTTTGCCCGAAGTTGCCCGAGGTTGCCCGAGGATGCCCGAGGTTTGCCCGAGATCGCACCTGGGTCGACCACGAGGCCACGTCGTCGAGCTCCTGGTGGAAGACCTGCTCGCAGCTTTCTTTTTATTAACTAACGAACGCACGAACGAATTAAAGCTCCTGGTGGAAGACGACGTGGCGGCTTTCTTTTTTTGGTCGCCGTAGTCCGGGTTTCGGAGGCGAGAGTACTGTAGCTGCTAGTGGACGACCTTGCCATGGGAGACCGCGAGGTAGCCGGCGCGGCGGAAGCGCTGCGGCAGCGTGACGACATCGGGGATGTGATCGCGCACCTGCAGTGCGGCTGGGTGTGCTGTCTGAGCGCTTGTGAGCTGTGATGAGGGTCGGCGCGCGCGCGTGTGTGTGTGTGTGTGTGTGTGTGTGTGTGTGTGTGTGTGTGTGTGTGTGTGTGTGTGTGTGTGTGTGTGTGTGTGTGTGTTCGTCCCGCAGGCAGAGTTTGTAGTCCGAGCCGAGCTACAGCTGCAGAGTGCTACACGGGTGAGCGTCTCGCGTCTAGGCTGAGTCGCATGAGTGAAGAGGTCGACGACGCCCGTCTGGTGCCTGCGGTGAGAGCAGCCACAAATGAATTGTGGGTCGAGAAGCAGCAGTCTCAAATGCTGAGTGAGGAGTGAGTGCAGTTTGCGCATCTGACGGCTGGTGCACGGTGTACGGCCGGTGAGAAGCGCGGCACGCGACGGGTTGCAGTTTGCCACCGCGGCGTGGGCGTTGGTGAAGGTCACGCTGCGTCTCGATAGAGCGTCGATGTGCGGCGTCCTCGCCCATTCGCGGCCGTATGCGCCGAGGTCAGGCCGGAGGTCGTCGACAATGACCAGCAGCACAGAGGGCCGCCGGAGGCCGGTGCTGGAGTTGGTCATCTGGGACGTCGCAGTGCTGCTCTCATGTGACAGGCACTGAAGCTGCAACGCTCGGGTGGATGGGCGAGACTGGACAATGTGCCGAGCAAAGTGGCCGAGCAGAGTATAACAGGACCCAGGTACCGACTGGTTTGCTGTTCTGCGCTGTCTGGCGGACGCCTGTATGCCATGCACGCGGACCACGCTTGCGTGGATACGTGGCTGGCAGGCTGACCCGTGTGCGGGGTAACCCGCGCACGGGGAAGCTTCACGGGTTCGAGCCGTCAAACATTGAGCAGCGGAGGTGAACGGAAACGGCTACGTTTGGGCCGAGAGCTACGGCGGCCGCCCCGGCTGGGTTCTCTGCATAGAGTAGGGCCAGGAGCCGCCGGCGTCAGGCGTGCGAGGCCCGGCTCTTGCGCACAGAAGCGAGCGGAGCGAGCCGAAGAGAAAATTTGAGGGGTACTTGCATGTAGAGCTCTACGTCCCTGTCTTGACTCTTGAGCTTTTGACAGCAGGACACGAGTGTTATACACAGTCGGCACGTATTCCGTTCCGCGCGTGCCCCGCTGAATACAAATACCGTTCGGCTGATTTATAAGATCCGCGAGACCTCGAGAGAGTAGTGCCGAAGGCGCTCTTTTTGATCGCAGCCTACATACAGCTCGGCACGTTCCCCTCCACCCAGGCCGACGGTTCCCCTCGACGTCGCCAGGTCCCTCGCCTTTCCCGTTCCGCTCGCGCTGGCCCCGCCGTATCGACGCACATATGGCCGCGGGGAGCTGCACGCCCGAGCGGCGCGACGCATCTCGCTCGCGCAACCCGCCGCTCCCTCTCCGCTCCCACCATGCGATGCGCTTCGCTTGGCGCCCGAGCGGCTACGCCCCTCTCGGCCTCACAATGCCTGCCACCTCGCGTTCGCAGGTGAGGCTGCTGCCATCGAGGAGCCGCGAGACGCGGCCGCTGCAGCTCGTTTCCCACCCATACACCGAGCGAACCCGCCCGATAGCCCCCACTCTTTTCCGGCGAGAGAGCGACGCAGCCCGCTTGCTTGCCAATCGCTGCCCGGCTCCAGTCCGAGCGCCGAGGACACGAGAGAGTGTGCCGGTCGTCGCGACGCTAACGCCGCGGCGTGCTGCCCGTAGGTGCTCTGCCGGCCAACGCCCGCTCGCTCGCTCGCCGCCCGGCTCCAGTCCGAGCGCCGTGGACGCGTGAGAGTGTGTCGGCAGCTATCACGTTGTCGTTGCGACGCTCACGCCGCGGCGTGCTGCCCGTAGGCGCAGCTCTACTCTCTCAGGCTCGAACCTTCCCGGTCAAGTCAAGAAGCCCAGTCTCCTCTCCTGCTGCGGCACGCGGGCGCGTTGATTTCTTTCTGTCTTTTTAGGCGAGGTTGCCCGAGATTGCCCGAGATTTTATTATATGCCTTCATAGCCCGCATGATCCCTCATAAACAAAGGACATCTTCTTTGACTCTCTTTCACACGGTTGTGATTGCGTAGGCGTGTTCCTTCCGCTGCGCTGCCGCTGCACGCGCAGAGGTTCCGAGATCTACCCGAGATCCAGCCGAGACCGACACAGGATTGCGTAAATACGCCCTCACTCATTAACGCGGAACGCTCTCCCGTCTAATTAGGGACTAATCACAATTTACTATTAGGGACTAATCACAATTTAGTCACACGTGTCAAGTCTGTGGCAGTTAGCCATTCTCAGTAACAGGGCGCCTATGACTAATTACTACTTAATCATTCATTCTCACTCATTCAAAAGCCGCGGCTGTGGTAGATGTCATTCAATTTCACTCGTCATTGACAGGTTGCGCCCTCCACGCTCGTGCGCCTATGACTACTTCCTACTTAATCATTCGTTCTCACCCATTAACAGGGTACACTCTCCACGCACATCTCATGCGCCGATGCCGAGTTACTTAGTCATTCATTCTCACTCGTTCACAAACTTCGGCTGTGGTAGTTACTCATTCATGCACTCCACGCTCGTGCCGATGGCTAATTTCTACAGGCACTCATTCTCAGCCGATCACACATGGTACGCCCTCCACGTCTCGTGCGCCTGTGACTTCTAAGTACCAAGATGGCGCTGGCTGGCCTCTTCAACCTGATCATTGCCTGAGAGCTTCCCCGAGATCATCATAGTACTCAGTCCGCAGTCGTTTATCTGCAGTAATCGACCGTACTAGCGTGAAATCCGCAGTAGTCGACAGTAACAATGCGCAGTCTGCAGCAGTAGTCGCACAAGTTGGTGCAACAGCTGCAGCGCTCATAATAATCAATGGTCATTAATATGTAATTGATAGCATGCAGTAGTCCACAGTAACAGCGTGTAATCAGCAGCCGACAGTAATAATGCGCAGTAGTCCGCTGCAGTATATCGCAGCAGTAGTCGCACAAATTGGTGCAGCAGCTGCGCTGTACTGGGCGCCTCATAATAATCAATGGTCATTAATATGTAATAATAATCAATGGTCATTGATATGCAGTAGTCCATAGTAACAGCCTTTAATCAGCAGCAGCCGACAGTAATAGTAATGCGCAGTGGTAGTCGCACAAATTGGTGCAGCAGCTGTAGCGCTGTACTGGGCGCCTCTTAATAATCAATAGTCATTAGTTTTAATTGATGCAGTAATAGCGTGTAATCAGCTTCAGTCGACAGTAACAATGCGCAGTAGTCCGCAGCAGTAGTCCGCAGCAGTAGTCCGCAGTAATCGACCGTACTAGCGTGATATGCAGTAGTCGATAGTAAGAATGCGCAATCTGCAGAAGTTGGTGCAGCAGCTGCAGCGCTGTACTGGGCGCCTCAATCTTAATAGTTATTTGATGGTTGCTTTTATGGTTGCTTTTATGTGCTCTGCAGGACGCGCGCCGAGAGAGGCGCTACATGGTCGACTTCAATGAGAGCGAGGGCGAGTCGGCTTTCTTGGTTGTGAGATCAACAAAGGGGGTCTGGTTCGACAACCCCCACGTGTTCCATCGGAGCCTCGCAAAGGTGCCAATCAGCTTTTGTTTCGCGGAGGGGGCCCAGGTTCAGACCGAGCTCGGGCCAACGGCTTCCGTCAAGGTCGGTGGCTACTTCGCTTCCAGTGCGGAGTATGAGGAGTGGTATCAGCGCCGCCGCGCGAGCCTGACGCTGCCGCCTTCGCTCGGAGCTGAGGTGCGCACGCGCACGCCAGGATCGGCATTGTCCCTGCGGTGTCCCCGTCTCCAAACATTTACATTTACGTTTCTCCCTCACGCAGGCGTGCGGCGTCAACGACGACGTCGTCGTGAAGGAGGAGGCCGTCGCCGGGGAAGCCGCCTCCGACGAGGCCGTCGTCGCCGAGGAGTCCGCCACCGAGGAGGCGACCATCAAGTCCACCGCCGCCGAGGTGTCCGCCTCCCAGGAGGCGCCCGTCGCCGTGGCGCCCGTCGCCGAGGAGGCCGTCGCCGAGGAGGCTGCCAAGGAGGTCGAGAAGCCGGCCAAGACCGTTTCCAACACGCCCGACCCAGCGGTGAGCGCGCCGCATTCTCTCCTGGCACTCCTCGCTCTCCCACCGGTAATACACCGGTAATAATCTCCCTTCCCGTGTGCCCCTATCGCGCTTGCAGGACACCACCTACTACCCGGGCCTGCCCACGCCGATGGCGGCGGGGAAGAGCGGGCCCGCGTCGCCCCGCAGCGGCTCCGGACCGGGCTACGTGGACGGCGTCGAGGCTGCAGTCCGCCGGCTGGGCGAGAGCGTCAGCTACCAGGCTACGCCCGCCGACGGCAAGAAGTCGCCGTCGCCGGGAGTCCCCACCTCCGGCGGCATTGCGCCCGTGGCGCCCAAGCCCCTTGGCGCGGTCGCGGGCGCGGGGCAGGCTGAGGCCGAGGCCGCCAAGGAGCGCGAGCACTGGGAGGGGCGGCTCAAGAAGGCGAAGGCCGCGCTCGATCTCATTGCCGAGCAACGGGAGAAGTGGGCGGACTTGCAGTCGCGGCGCTCGAGGAAGTGCCGGCGCAAGGCCATGCGCTGCCGCAACAACCCCAAGTTTGGCAAGGCAAAGGGCAGGCGCAAGTCTGGCAAGGCAAAGGGCCGCGGCCGCGGCTCGCACCGGCGACCGAAGCCGCGCGGCGGGCCGCAGACGCCGCCTTGCAAGTCGCCGGACCGGCGCCGCGAGCCGCAGACCACGTCCGGCAAGGCGCCATTCGCCGTTGGCACGTGCGGCGCCGGCGCTGGCACATGCGGCGCCGGCGGCCGCGCCGGCCTCAAGGCGGCGGCCGACTGCGTGCGGGGCGGCTACACGAAGGCCGAGGGCGCCCTCCGGTGGCTGCTCCTCGTCTGCATGCCCGCCTTCGGCCACTGCGCGCCCGCCGTGCCTAGCCCGACGGCGGTGGCCTCGTCCTTCTCGTCTGCCGTCGCCTCGGCAGCCTCCGTCGCCTCGGCGGCGTCCTCTGACTTCTCATCCGGCGTCGCCTCCGCGGCGTCCTCGGCCTTCTCGCCCGCCGTCGCCTCGACGGCGTCCTCGCTCGTGAGCTGCTCGCCGCTTCTCATGCCCGCAATCGTGCTCATCCTCCTCGCCATCGCCTGCGGCGCCATCGGCACGGTGATGTGGCGCCGCAACTCAAAGGCCCGAAGACGGCCCGACCGCCCGACCGACCCGAAGACGGCCCCAACCGGCGTCACCACAAACGCGCAAGCTCTCAAGCCGGTCACCGAAGACGCGCCGGCTCTCGAGCCGGTCACCGCCGGCGGCGCGCCGCTGCCGTCGATCAAGGAGCTTCCAGCGGCGAGCGCCGCGCACTCTGCGCCGCGCGTCTGCCAACCCACTCCTTCACTTGCACCCCGCTTTCATTGCACGTAGGGCGACGCCGACTGGACCGTCTCGGCCAAGGAGTCTCCGCCAGCGGAGAAGCTCGCCCCGGCGGTGAGCGCCTCGCACGCTGCGGTTGTAGTTGCAGAGCCTCAACTATTGACGCACCCACCGCTTGCGCGTGCGCCCAGGGCATCCCCGACAGGACCACCCCGTCGAACCCGCGCCGCAAGAAGGGGCGCAAGGGCGCGTCCGCCCCGATCG